CAACAATATGGTCCCAGTCCTGCCAGGTTTCAGTCAGAGCTGATTTGGAGCTGTAGTCCTTTTAGGCTTTCTATCAATGCATGAGCATGCTTGATACCGTGAACAATTTGCCCTTGAGTCATGCAGTGACACTGAGTATTTTAGTACCCGTCTTACTATCCCTTTCATTAGTGGATTGAGCAGTGGTGTACGCTCTGGAGCCTTCTTTTGAATCAGTCACGAATTTTCCATGCCGCATACCCACATGCTGTATGTGTGTAAATTTGCTTCTTTTTTTGGTGCTAACCAACTAGTTGCCCTCAGGTATGATTCTGGGCAATACTCACTCAAGGCACCTCTCCCTATAGCCGGTACATAGAAGACCATGTCAGGGTTGTCTTCTTCTGCCCTACAGAGATCTCTTAACAGTGTCCTATTGACTAAGTCGCCAAGCTTGTGTCCTTGCATGTTCTTGTATGTCCCCTAGCCTTGTTCTGTGGCACGTAGTACACACCTTGGCATCACTGGGTAAAAGCTTTACACCAGCAGGCCATGGTGCAGCCTCTCCTGTTGTTTGAATAAGAATAAAATGTAGTAATTGCATCCAGGCACCACGTGGAGCCGAGAGGAAAAGCCAGGCCAATGGTGATGCCATGTGCCATGCTAAGGGCAGTGATGCATACAAGTCATTTTGGGCAGTATGTCCTGGCATTTTCCTCTCTGAATTGGATGCCTTTAGAAATGTAAAGCTAGCCTTGAGGTATCTCTGGTAGGCCGTCTTAATTCTATAGATACTATCACTGACCCTTTCTCACTAATGTAATTGTCTTGTCAATAATGTTTTGCTCCTGGCTGCTATACTTGAAGGTGATTAGGAAGTACAGAAATTGGGGACACATCAATTGCATTGATATTTTGTGCAAATATAAGACAGTACATACATTAACAAGCTTCCTTTTGCTCTTCATCATTGCTTAGATCAGGATCTCCATTAATTTACTTTTGTTTGAGAAAACCAAAATCAGGGACCAGTTTCTTGTCAGACTAAAAAGGAATCACTATAGGCTGTATTTATAATAGGTAGACTGAAGTAGTACATTGCACACACTCTTCAGTGTGTTGTAGCAGGGGTGCTACAACAAGGTTGTTGATGAATTGCAAAATGCTTACAAGCTGTGTATCTTTTGTAGCTGCAGATGGCTGCTTTATGATCCTTTTGCATCAGTTATTAGATCTGCAAAAATGTTCATCACAATTGCTCTGGCATAGCTTTTCTCTAGCTTGTACCTGTTAAACTGTCTGTTTAGATGCAATTTATGCACATCAATCTGCATTTCTGCACGCAGAAAGCTTTACACAATTGACACAGCAGACAGAAGCGTACAGACCATTTTGGAGTAAATTTTGCCCCTAAATGGTATTCAGTATAGAGCCAGTTTATCTTAAGGCTGCACGATTAATATAGTGTAATTTACACAGTGCAGGCAAATAACTGTGATGTATTATAAAATTTAATTGTACATATCAAACTAATAAAAATCAAGAGCAGGACCAAGCATTCTCCAATGGATATCCAGATAAGAGTAGAAAATCTTCTCAATATATCATAGCATAGATATTTAACTTAGATATTTTATGAACTTGTACTGTTTGTATAAAGACAGGGTTCCAAAGATATATGCAGAACTGCTAGATTAAAAGTAATACAAGATGAAAAAGAAAGCTTAAAAAAACCCCATTATCAAGAGCAGGAGAAACACTGGTAGTTGTTCGGATCCTGTATTTCATTATGCCTTCAAGGCAGGACTGGAAGTTGTACCCCAGAGTGACTTCACATTACTGGGGCGCCTCTAGAAATAACAGCAGTTCCCAACTCAGCTCTATGCTAACCATATCCCTCCCTTGCAGAATGGGGTTTTGCTGAGAAGTTTACAGGAGTACACCAACAAGATAAAATGTTCTCAATACTTTTTGTGCTGTAAGTTGATGAAAAAAATGCGATACGCATAACTGACCAAGGTTAAAACTTCCAAAACCTGTACAACACGTCTTTTGGTTCTTAGTCATGGGCAAAAGCAATTCCCTTTATGCCATAAAACTCTTGATGTATTTTACCATTCTGCCTTGGGTTACTTTTATGTTATATTTCTGATTGTACTGCAGAATATTAAGACCGAGGTAAAATGAAATATGCAGCAGGACTCTGGTTTTCCCAGGAAACATTGTGGATATTAGTAGCAGTTACAAGAGAAAGTAAAAGAATTTTTTTTAATCTTCAACCTGAAAAAAATGTTGACGAGAAAAAAAAGAAGTGGAATCCAGCACAGTAAGACAGAGCGCAGTGACTTGAAAAGTGTTCGGAAGAAGACAATCTGGTATTTGCAGCACAGTGAGAGACAAAGTTGTGGACTTGCTTGTAGCCATGCAGGAGGATTCTTACTTCATGGTCTGTGCATTTAAAATCTGTGGAGGAAAGAAGTATGTTCAAGCAGCAACATGAATGTTATCCATGATAATATAAAATCACTCTTTCAGAAAAAAAACACTTGCTATTTTCAATCTCTACGGTGGCTCAAAGCTAAAATATTCACTTCTGTAATTTAGTCAATGGATATTTTTTTCAGTCATTATTTCTATGAATATGTTCTTCATTATGCTTTCCCAACAGCCCGGTTCTATTCCCTAAGTTTCAGCACCCACCATGTTGTCCAGGTGGTCCAGAGCACCACCTCTTTGCCAGTTTGTGCCAAGGTCATGATGATCTTGCAGCTACCTTTAGTGTCTCATCACTCCCGTTTCCTGAGCCATGAATCCTCACAGGCAACCCTATTCAGCTGCCCACATTTTAGGCTCTACCATATTATTGTATCCTTCCGGGCATGCTGCATGATCTGGCTGGCTCCAGCAAAGAAGGCAGGGGGTAAACCACATAATCTTACCCGCTTTGTAGGAGCAGATGGAAACAGAGGCACTTTCAGACGGATCCCAGTAAGAGAGAGAAGCACAAAACAACATGGGTGGAAAATACTTAGCTACTGAAAATGCGAGAATCCTGCTTTGGCATAGGGCTCTGCATGTGGGTTATACTTCCTGAGCTGCCTTTTGATTCATTTTTGATGCTCAGCTTACCTTTCAGCATTGGTATTTTTAAAGATAAAGCTCAGGTCCAAAATGTAGCATTTGATTTTCTACATACAGAGCCACTGAAGTTCCAGCAAATACCTTCCACAGCCACCTGCATTAAGAGTGGATCCTGGTCTGCCTGGCGTACCTTGTCTAGCCTAGTCTACCTCACATTTAGCAGCACTGAATAATGTGTTTTCAGCTGACCAAGGACCAGGAATTTGGATGAGTTGCAGTGACCCACAGTAAAACCTCAGAGCTGTTGGCCTCAGAAGAGAGTAAAGGATCTGTGGAAGTAGCTGATTTCTTCCATGCGGAGGCATTTGTTTCTCTGCTTCTGTGTGGCCATAGATAAACAACCCCTGGTTGAGAAGGCTTAAAAGGAAAACCACTGCCCCTTTTGCTGTGGTGCTGTCTCTTCTTAGCCCAATATATGAATTATTTCTTTTTCACTTCGGCCATGTTTTCTGTCTGTCTGCTAGCTCCAAAGTGGTTACTGTGATAATCCTGGGAGAGGGGGAGCTGCTCTCTCCTGTGTGATTTCTCCCTGCCCTCCATCAGCTCTGCAGACTGAAAGAGCAAGGGCCAGCTATTCTCACCAGCATGTTTAATCACCTTGAGCAATGGGCAGGCCGTGCAGGGGATACCAAATCCATAGCTTTTATGTGAAGAGAGGTCAAGATTTGTTAGCTTAAACATCAACCATGTCCACATAAAACAAGAAGGTGAAAAAATTTTCAGAGCAGTTCAGTCTCCACAGCAGGTGGAGGTGGAAGAAACATTTTTTCAGATGCTCCCCTGAGTAGACTGTTGAAAGGAAGCAGAGACTTTGCAGAGAGCAAATGAAGGAGCATGGAAATGAACGGGAAGATGCAGGAGGATGCTTTTGCATGCACTTACGTGACACTTTATCAAATGTATTACTTCCTGAAAGTAATGTTACCCATTGAATGACAGGCTGAACTAAAAACAAACAGGACACTGAGTCTGAAGACAACACACACTATTGCATCATGTAGAGACTTCAGTGGAAGTATTTTGGTTAAAGGTCTTTGAGAACGAGTATCATAATTTAGAAGCATAATTTCTGCTATGTGACAGCAGAATTCATTGTAGATCAGCCATTGCACTTTGAGCCCATAACTACTCATAAAGGACTGGAACCTCTCCTTGGCTCAACGGTAACACAAAGCCTTCCAGGTGGAACTAAATTGCAATTTAAAGAATGTGTGATGGAAGCTTTTCCAAATGGATGAAGTCTTTAAACAATTTCACAAGATTTACATTACTCTCTAGTGTTCAGTTGCAAACCTAGACTCTGTGAAGTCCATCTTCCACATGGATTCTCCAAAGAGTTAATTCTGCTCAGGAAGTGCTGAGATGAGAAGTTATGTAAAGCTCATTGTCTACTTTGAAGAATTTCTGTGGTGAAAAGTAAGATTTTGCTGGGTCAAAACACATTACTATATTTTTGATACTAAGTATTTTAGTACTTAACATTTTTCTGTTGAATGCATGAAGGGTTTTTTTCCCTTTTTTTTCCTGTGAGTGTTGTAACTTCTTTTGTAGTCACCCAAACTAACAAGGTGGCTAGAGACACCTTACCGAGTGTATGGTTAGCAGACACTATCACAGTCATTCTGTCTACATTCTGACTGTATAAAGGTTATTAATATGACACCTGGTTTCTAAAAGTTTTCCCTAGGCTTCAGCCCTTTTAAAGAGAAGACTTCACCAGTTTGCAACTGAAGAAAATAGATTCCTTCTTCGATCAGAATAGTCCTTCTGTATTATTAAATAGTAATTGTCAAGTCAGATCACTTGGGGGCAAACTGCAAGGAAAGGCTTTCCTCGAAGTCATTATTCTAACTATTGCTTCTTTTTCTCTGCTTTCAGAGGCTGGCAACAAGAAGCTAAAGAGCACGATACAGAGAAGCACAGAGACAGGAATGGCAGCAGAGATGAGAAGTCGTATGGTTCGACAGCCAAGTCGGGAATCCACTGATGGCAGCATAAATAGTTATAGCTCCGAGGGCAAGTAAGTGGCATTAAAAACATCACTAATGTAGGAGAAGTTTCTTGTGTTTGTAAGAAAACCTGGGATGTGAGCAGAGGTCCCAGCTCTAGCTGAAGGGCATAGCTCTGTGTACAGATTCTCCTTTTGAAATGTTTGCAGAACTGAACTATTTTAAGCACATAACAAAAAATTCTTGAAAATTGAAATCGAGAGAGGACTTCTTAGGGATTCACATTTCCCCTGTCATCCAGTGAGGCATTTTGTTCATCAAAAGACAACTAAATTCAGACCGCATTATTCGAAACCAAACATAGGGGTACTTTTTCTTTCAGTTATGTTTGGATTAACTCAGAGTTAAACTTCAGATGTCATATATAAATCCCTGTGATGTGAAACTCTTTTCAGTAATACTATATACAAAGAAAGTTTAGTTTGGAGTTGGTCCAAGTCTCTTATTGAGAGTTGTAAACCCAGAGTCTAGCTGCCCCATCAGCTGAAATCAGGGAGACAACTGTGAGGAATGGGGCAGCTGTTTTCATTCACTGCTGAATGCCTCAGTATGTAGGAAAGGAGAACAAAGGCAGATCTGACACAAAGGTGTGCGTGAATACTCCAGCCTCTTCACAGCTCTCAGTGGGACTCCACTGCATATGCCAAGGCACAGTGGTCACTAGGGAATTCTTAGAAGATGCTTCCCCACAAAAGGGGAAACAGGGGATAGGCAAATCCACACTATAGACCTGGAAAAAACGAGAGATTGGGACTTCTTTGGCTTCATCTTTTTATGTGCTTACTATGTTACCACAATTGCTACTGCACATTGTGTAAGGCACGAAGAGCCAGGGGCAGCCATGGCGGTGGCAAGGAGCTGTGTAAATCTGATCATCATCAGATGATCTCACCACCCTCATTTTTTTTTACAGTGGGTGTGGTGAGACACTGGAACAGGTTGCCCAGAGAAGTTGTGGATGCCCCATCATTGGAAGTGTTCAGGGTCAAGTTGGACAGGGCTGTGAGCAACCTGATCTAGTGGAAGGTGTCCCTGCCCATGGCAGGGGCATTGGAACTAAATGATGGTCCCATCCAACTCAAACCGTTCTATGATTCTGTGATAATGCTAAGAATTGCAAAAGCCATGTAATAAAAACAGGTTCCATCATGAATAACTCAAAAACAAAGTAGTTGAGCATCAGATGAAGAATGAGGGACAAGAGTAAAATATCCCAGTATTTTTCCTGGTATGATTCTAGGATAAAGCATTACCTTTACCCTTTCCACACTCCATCCTGCCAACCTCCTTCCTCTCTCTAGGCTGGAGTGTCAGTCTGTAAGGCACCAGTCACTCACCATGGTGACAAAGGGCCCAATAAATTGGACCCTGCTAACAAGGAGCTGGGGGAGCTTGCTTCCCTTGTTAGCAGTATGGGAGAGGTGAGAGCCCAGTACTGATAGTGAGGACATTTTCAGGGGAACTGCCTAATCCTCTGCTCCACCCTCAGAGTGTGTAAACAGATTTGGCAAGCCTGGGGTAGTCAGGGTCCGGATCTGGAGGTCACAGCAGGCATCTGGAGGACTGAAACTGCAAGGTAGAACCTTAAATTGTTGACTTGAGAATCAGCCTCTGAGTAAGGCAAGTGAAGAGAGCAAGCCTGGGAGGTAAACTGAGTGCTTGCTTCTTATTGGGACATACTGCAGGCTGACTGTGCATAGTGGGACTTAGTTTGAAAATTATCCTTTAGAACTAGGTCCATCTTCAAGGTAAAGTGAGCTATCATAAGCTGGTAGTCACACTATTTGCATCTTATGTCGTTTCTGCCTCCTTAGCTCCCGTGCCTGCTCCCCACCTCTTGCTGCTCCAGCACCAGTTCTGCTTCTGAACATTTTCAATGTTGTTAGTCATTCCATAGCAAAATGTAACATGTTTTCGGGAAAAAGGCCGAAGAAACGAGCAAGAAACTTTTCATAGCAGGGACAAGAGTGAATGGATAGTGCCACTGGGGGGATAAGCAGATCGTGTGCCTTGTCAGGAAGGGTGGGCTTCAAGCTTCATCTCGAGGTTAGTTGAATGCTGTAACTGGTGGGCTGATGGTTGAACTGGAGACCCTGAAGTTCTTTTCCTCCTCCATCTAAAGAAACCTCCTTTAAAAAAAACATTTCTTAAAACTAAAGTTCTGTGAAAAGCTTATCTTTTGGTAAATCAGAGTTTTTTAATGAAAAGCACTGTGCTGATATTTTCTGGCCAGCTTTACTTACAGGCTGTCTATACGTTTATGCAGTCATAATAAGAGCAGTTAGTCTTGAAGAGAGGAATGAGCTTTTTCTATACAACTAACTGGGGTTTGCAAAGAGTTTTCAGTGTGAATTGAATGACTGGAGCACATAAGCCTGATCTGTGGAAATCAAAGCTTTTCACACTAGATTTTTTATTAGGAAGTTTTGTTATTGTTTCCTCCAGTCTAATAGGGAATTTCCTTTGAGGGAGGAGCAGATACAGAGTGCTGGATGGCTTGCTGGGTAAAATGCTATCTAGAGTTGGTTCTTCCATTCCTCATGATTGTGATGAGGAAGTCAAAGCTGAGTCTCCCCACCATGGATCATTCTTTCTCTTTCTTCTTTTTTTGTTTGCTTCTTTTGTTGTTGTTTGGAGCATGTATATCTATTAAAAAGAAAGTGGTGATTCTGGAATACAAGAAAGCAGCTTGGAAAAGCACATATCATAGAATCATAGAATAGTTTGGGTTGGAAGGGACCTTTAAAGGTCATCTAGTCCAACCCCCCTGCAATGAGCAGGGACATCTTCAACTAGATCAGGCTGCTGAGACCCCTGTCCAACCTCACCTTGAATGTTTCCGTATATTCTATGCTGATGCATTACAGTTCAGTTTGTATCCTGAAAGAGGGGTGGGTACCAACATAGATCCAGATGTGGCTACTGGAATATTTTGGCTAGAGAGTGGCATTAGGTTTAGCTCTAATCAACACCAGTACTACCTGCCAGTTTACTGCTTCATTAAACAGCTGCAGCAATCAGGTTAATTTAGTCTATACATCTGTTTTCCCTCTTTGTTCTAACTGACGCGGATGAGGTTTGGGTATATGTATAGATATAAAACAGTATTACAAGGTAAATCAAGCATTCAAGAATGATAGGCTATGAAATTTCATGAGGCTTTTTATGTTTTCTCCTACAAGGTCACTCATAGTTTATTCACCTGTCAGGCTCTTCACTGCCCCTGGAGAACTCCTTAGCAAGAACTGGTTTATGGACTACTTGGGGTCCATGTGCAGAATTTCACTACACTTCTTTGGGGTCTGTGGGAGACAGCTTGTTCCTGATGCTGCAGAACAATTTGTGGTTGCACATTCTGAGCTGCTTGCCTTGTATCAGTAGTACTTTTGAGGTAAATACTGTAGGACAATAGAAATTAATCCTGTTCTTATGCTTAACCAGCTTTTATTTTGCTTCAGCTTAATATTTCCTGGAGTACGGCTGGGCGCTGACAGTCAGTTTAGTGATTTCCTCGATGGACTTGGACCTGCACAATTAGTAGGCCGACAAACGCTAGCAACCCCTGCCATGGGTAAGAATAATTTGTTCTCCTCTGTTAAATGAATAATACTAAGCCAATTAACTAATGCACACACTGCCAGGCTACAGCACCAAAAAGACTTTTACAAAGTGGCTTCCTTCACTGTAAACATGAAGGTCCTGTATGCAGTCACTGGTATTCCTAGCATGCTAGCATCCAAAATGGCATGAGAAAGAGTATTTGCTCTGTATGTGAGGTATCTGCTAATCTCATTTGCAATTTGAAGATAGGGGTTGCACTTTAATTCCCAGTTAAAATTATTGTGGCTTCTCCGATTGTAGATCACTGCAAAATCTCAGCCATTCAGAGTTTATATTTATTTGCCACAGATTATATTGGATGTGACAGACAGTTTCTGGCCAAACACTGCACTTGTCCAAGCTTAGTTCATCTAACCCCAGAATGTGAAACTTCTGCCCACATTTGCAATGCTCAGTAATCAGTTGCTGATAAAGCCAGTGTTTGTCATGAAAGAGACAAAATCCTTCTCTACAGCAGCTGCCTGGGGCTATCTGTGATCTCTGTGTTCCAGACCAGTCTGTATTTCCCTATAGTAGCATTAGCTGTATCTTGGTTATGAATAGGGTATGAGTGTATAAGGTGTGCAACAGTGCAGTGCTGTGTAAGTATCTTTGGAAAGGTTTGATTTTTTTTTTTTTATTTTTTCTTGTATATAAGCAATTCTTAGACATGCTTTAGGATGCTAAGTGAGGAGTCCTTGGTCCAGTACTTTAACCATACTTCTCTTGCTGGAAAGTATAAATGGCCAATGCTTCAGTACAGTTGTCTTGGGAGAATCGCCTTCAGAAAGGGCTACTGAGCCGCTTCTGAAAAAGGAGAGAGAAACAGAAAGAAAAATTGCATGAGAGAGTGTTCCCCTCCCAACTCATGAGCAGAAGGAGACAGAAACTTTCCTGAGAATGCTTTGAGTACCCCCTAAGGCAAGGGTTGCTGTCTAAGTCCAAATGACTGCTACTAATGCATTAATAAGGGCCAAACTTGTTAAATTCATATTTATGAATTTCATTATTTTGAAAGAGAAGATATTTGTGAGATGATTTGCCCAGTAAAAATCTAAGTGGCTCTATCGGTATGAATATAAGGGTCTAGATTTCTTCCGTCTCTTTAGTTTAATCTTGTTTTCTGGCTAAATATTTTTCTGCAGATTACTTGAGTAATACGTTTATTTTTCACTTCTTAGAACTGCTTTATTTATTAAAGGCTCAAGTTTTGGCCCCCCAAAAAGCACTTGGTCATGCTTTTTCACAATTTTCAGAAGACATTCTATGTGGTATCCTTTCACTACTGACGATTTGAAAATATTTGTATTACCGCTCCCCCCTGTGGTTCCCTGTCGCATGTTTTATTTTGGATATGTGCTCTTAAAAAGGCTTTTTGGAATTTTCCTGTGAACTATTTTTAGTGCAACACAGAGCTCTGTTTATTCAAGCAAAGTTTGATTGATAAAAAAATCTTCCCTGCTGCTCTATCATACCTCAAGTACCAAGGTATAAACACAGCTTTAATATACTGTTAGACAAGCATGTGAAAATGGCATGCCCAGTTAATTTCAAAATGCTGTCTTTCTAAATCCAGACCCCAAATTCTATAGTTCAGGACTATCTATTTGTGAGTGTGTTTTTTTAGACAATCAGAGTTTACATGTCAAATATACACATACTTGCAATTTTCATGGAAGTATGTATAGTTCATTTATTTGCACAGGTGTCATATAGCTGCCCATGTCATACTGTGCATTTTTTATTCTAAGTGGCTTGTTAGATTTCTACCCAGCTGATTCCATGATATATAAACCCAAAGAGATGTAATGCTTTCAGCATTAGCCCATAGTTGACTTCCCTTGCATTTTATTGATCTAGATGAGAACAGTGCTTGGTCTTGGACTAAGCAGTTTCCTTTTTCTGCAGGAAATTTCATTTGTCAGAACTCAGGCAGAGAGACAAGTTTGACTATTTAGTAGCGAAAGCAGCTGCTTATTTTAATGTGCTGCATCATTTTATTCACACTAAAATAGGTGTGGAATATTGATAAAAACAGGAAAATTGTCACCCCTGTACTTGTTGGAGACTTTTGCTGAAAAAAAGACCTCTTTTGAGCTCCTGGGAGGCAGGGCATCATTCTCTGAAGCTGTGCTATGACTGTGTGCCTCGTCTGGTTGGTGTCTCTGCCTTACACTGAGGCTCCAGTCAGGCAGATGTAGTTACAGAAGAAGGTGTCGATGTTAGCCTCTACCAGCAGTTCTGCTTCCTGCTACATCAGGCAAGGAGCCTTTGCACTGCCAGCTCTTGCATCTCAGCTTGGAGGCAGAAACTTCCAGCTGAGGGGATTTCTGAACATGAGTTTGGGTTTTAGGCTCTCTGAGTGTGGGACCACTGTCAGGGCAGTGCCTGTCAGTGACCGTCACACTGGGGCAACAGTCCTAGGTAGGAATTCTCTGGATAATTCACCAGTGGAAAATTAAAGGTGTGGTGGTTATACCATAGTGTTGCTGTAAATTTACCTGCCTCCATGGATCAGAAATACTGAGCTCTAGTATAAACTGTACACCAAGAGAGGGCACCGTGCTCCCTAAGTATGTATCTTTTAGTCCTGGTTTAAGGATGGAGAATCTAAAGGGATCAGGAGGAGAGGTGACAAGCACACCAATGCAGCAGACTAGTGGCAAACTAGTCTTTCTGTTTCTCACTCTTATACCATATCTCCTGGGCCGTACTGCTTCTCTAAAATGTGGGCTTCTTTCTTCTCTCTCTCTCAGGTGACATCCAGATTGGAATGGTGGATAAAAAGGGCCAGTTAGAAGTAGAAGTCATTAGAGCCCGTGGCCTCACACAAAAACCTGGCTCCAAATCTACCCCAGGTAAGGAAAAAAAAAAAATGAACAGAAAACAAGAATATGAAATACACTGGTGAACTGGGAGTTGGAGATTTTTTGAGCTCCTCGTTAGCTGTCACTATATTTGCATTTGACCGGTTTACTTTTCAACAAGGAATGTGTGTGTGTATATATCTTTGATACCAATGTCCACTTCTTACCACCTTGCATCTGCCAGTTGCATGCCACCTTTCAAGGAATGATTTTCAGCAACTCAACATCCGTTCTAGAAGGAACATTTGCAGAAGTATTTCTGTGTATCTTAGGCAAGTCATATATCTCAGAGGGGCTTTGTTGATGTAGATGAAGTCCTTTGTGTTTGTTCCACATCAAAATGAGTTGGAGAACAGATGAAAGTGCTTTGAACAAACAGCTTAACAGACCCACATGCCATGGTCTTCTGTATGCAACAGTGCTTCAGGACAGCAGGTTATGCTAGTGCCAGTGTCAATAATTTGTATAATGAATGAGATTTAAAACTGTATCATTTTATAAGGACATTTTTGGAAGTCCTGGTTATTTATAGAAATCTTTATTAGAAGAGATGTATAATCTCCACCACAACCACTGCTTACCATAACAACTGGAACAGTTGTTTTAGATAACATTTTGCCAAAATGGTACTTTACAACCTCCTTAGGAGCTGAAGACAAAAGAGCAATTAATGTCTGCGTTATCTGAGTGACTTAGTTTTAAATATTCCTTTCAATGAAACATCAAAGTCTTTTGTTTTGAAATATCTCTGACCCCTAAACATACATAGAGACTCCAGAGTAGCTGTCAGTGACAGTTAATTTCTGGCAAAGGGAAGTGTTTTTAAAATGAGAGACATGAAATGGAATTGTTGTTAGTAACATCTTAGATCATTAAATTCAAGGTTTATAAAAATCAAATTGATTTCTTATGGGCTGTGTCATTTATTTTATAAATACAATCGTATTCAGATTATGCAGTGAAGATAGTGTGTGTGATTTTCTTTCCACTCAGCTTCCTTTTAAGGCATTTGTCCTCCAGCTCAGATGTGCAATGTAGAAGTTTTTAAGTCCAAACATAAAATTCACGATGTTCTGTTTGCAGCTCCATATGTCAAAGTGTATTTATTGGAAAATGGAGCATGTATAGCTAAGAAGAAGACAAGAATTGCACGAAAGACCCTGGATCCTTTGTACCAACAGACACTGGTTTTTGATGAAAGTCCACAGGGTAAAGTCCTTCAGGTCAGTTGCTTCTTAATCCCATTTTAGGCTATCATTTGCAGAAGCACTTGCATGTTTACCGAAGTTTAAGCAATATGCGTAAACCCATTCCAACTCACAAAGCCTTTAATTTTATAAATACCAGCAAAGACGTCCTTGTGGCTTGTGGTTTCAGACCTGCGAAATGTCTGACTGTATTAAACATTGCTGTTTTGTTGACTCTCATTCCTGTCCTGCCGTTAGGTTTTCCCACAAGAGGGAGCAATCATTCACCCTTAAGAATAACATTTTCCTTACACTACACATAACGAAATACAGCAGGACTGAACATACAAGCCTGGGTCTGGGAACGATGCTGAACCTGTATTTTATGTTCTTCCAGGTAATAGTTTGGGGAGACTACGGACGAATGGACCACAAATGCTTCATGGGAGTTGCCCAGATCCTTCTGGAGGAACTGGATCTGTCCAGTGTGGTAATAGGCTGGTATAAATTATTTCCACCTTCATCACTAGTGGATCCAACCTTGACTCCCCTGACACGCAGGGCTTCCCAGTCATCTCTGGAAAGTTCGACTGGGCCTCCCTGCATTAGATCGTAGTAGCAGGTGCTGTCTAATAAAAACGTCACCCAGGATAACAATTGGAACCAGATATTCACATGATCAAAAAACACTGTTGGAGAGAGACAATCACTTCTGTTTTTGCTTGTAGTAGTTATCCAAAAATATGTCTGTTTGTCAAGAGATGGCTTAAACTGACAGAACAAAGGTATATCACATAGAGCCAATCTATTAGCGGCTATCACCGATGCTTATAATGATTTTTTTAAAAAAGAGAGAGAGAGAGAGACACACACCTTTAGATTCAAACTAAGTCAAAGATGAGCCAAACTGGAAGCTCTCACTCTGTTAACAATGTTGTATTTTTCACATTTTGACAGAGCCCTCAAGCAGTGTTACCTTCCTGGTGTTTCAGCAGTTTTTCTGTACATGTCACTTCCACTAGTTTTTTGCCATGTGATTCTGCTAGTTTTGTAGAAGTCCTCACAACGCTAACAGAGACCCTTCCTTTCTTTTTCTAAACCAAATGAAAAAAGGGCTGAAGCATATCTCTGTAAGCATCGTTGAAATGTTCAACAGCCACAGTTACAATTCCAGCCAGTTCAAATCGTTTCTCGGTTCTGGTACTTCCAAGTCTCTCACATGGGAACCCAGAACAAATGACAAATCTAAGTTATATCCTTAAAAATAAATAATCATCACAGTGCCACTTTTCCTTTGTAAAAAGCAGATATGTTTGCATTATATATAATAACTTTTATGTTTATGATGTTTTGCATGGAAGAATTTTGCAGTTGAAGAATTCTGCAACTACTGCTGGGGACTGGTACAAAGCAGCTTTAGTCTTAATTTTGACATTGAATATGTTACTGGTAATGCAGTTTTCCTCCTAGAAATGGAGAGGAAATATTTACGTTTCTGTGTATAAATGTATATTTGACTTCCCAAAATGTTGACCAGGAATGGATTGAGCATATGACACTTTCCGCTGTACCCAGGCTTCTCTGATGTGTGTCGCTTCAGACGCACCTGTCTGCCCTGGATAGAGCATGGTATGAGTTGTTCAGTGTTTCACTGGAAATTCCAGTTGAAATATTCTGCACTTACTACTGTTTTTATCAAATTTTAGTTTACATTTCTTTGAGATTGATGCAAGCACAAGGCTTGATTTTTTAACGCAAGATATCTTACTTTTTGGAGAAAAAAAAAAAGTCAAATTTCAATTTGCTTTTTATTCACTTGAGTTCTTCTTGGCCTTGAAATCCCTTGTGATATTCTGTAAATGTGCAAACAACTGCAGATTCCTGCAGGTGCATTGATATGTTTCCCCTCCTTTTACAGGCCATTCAATTTTGTGATCACACAAATAGAGCAGCATGACTTGGAACTGTTCAAAGCTGCATGCACGTTTTGTAAAAAGAGATGAAAAAGGTTATTTAATAATGTATGTTAGTTCCACATAGGCCAGCTTGTATGTTGCATGTACTTGTACAGTTTGCTCGTAATTACTATACTGAAGTAACCAAGAAATCTAAGCCATCCATTTTTCTTATAGACATTTTGCAGGTTTTAGCCAGGCTAGATCTGTGAGTCTGGTGCTAAATGTCTATAGATGGACTTTATTTTTTACCCTATGGAAAACGTGATGTAGTACGGACCAAATTCCTTCTAATAACTATTTTGGTGTAGATTCCTACTGTGGGGCTGTAACACATGTAGAAACTGTGTACACACTAGGTTTTAATTCATAGACATACTGCCTGCACCAAGTGAACTATTTATTATTACTCAACACGTGGGAATTATTCTGCCCATCTTTCCATAGGGCGCAGATTGGTTACTGCTCGACCTGCTGAGCAGGAAGAACTCAAGCATTGGTGCACTACTACTAGATCCTGTTCTGTCTTAGTGGCCAAAAACCAACTAGTTATAATTCGATAGTATCTTTCTATTTTGACCACTTGTCTTAACACTCCCCTGTGCTTTTAAATGAACTTCCAACTCATGTTATGTAAACATGTTTAATAAAATTTCCTTTTCATGTCCAGTGTAGTAGTTGTGCTCTCTGTATGTTCTGAGGTTCATCTGTGATTCTGCTTGCTGCAGGACTGTGTGAAATGTGTTAAGGAACAGTAAAATGATAAGTAATTTCTATGGTTCTTTTGATTGCTGTAATAGTGTATGTTGAAATCTGGGGCCAAAAGCTGAGGCCTGGTGAAAGTCGTGTTTGGTTGGCTTCCTTTTCACTGAGAAAGGAGCCAAATTGTGCTCTCATTCGTTGAAGCAGGCAAATTGAAGTAAAAAAAAACCCCAAATTTAGGCAAATTACAATCTGGTGAAGTCAAATCAGCTTGTTGGAGTTGAGTGATGCTGTGTCTGCAGCATCACTAGGTCAGCAGGGCGGTATGTGTTAGAGCCAGACACCAGCTCTTCGTTTGGTGTGTGCTGAGCCTTTAAGACATGAGAACTCCTGATCTTTTGAGCTTTTTACACCCAGAAATATGTCCTTGTGTTGTAATGCCGTTATGGACAATGCTTTATAGAAATTTACCTGAGAGCAGAATTTGGCACTAAATTTTATTAGGGAAGCAAAGATTATGTACTTTGTTTGATTTTTAGTTTTCCATGTCCCACAGATACCTGATCACAATTTAAAAATAACATAAAGACAATATTGCCTCACTTTGAACACTTTTGTTTATTACTTTATTTATCTGAATACATGGTTAAGCTACTGAAAAAAATGAATAATTAAACATGGTAAATCTCTGAACAAAAGGCATGTTACATTTCTGCTTCTGTGTGGTGGGAGTGATCTGTTTAAATATAGAATTTGTCATGCTGTTGCAAAAAGCCCTCAATTTCATAAACCTGATGTCTTTGAATATTGTGTCCAATACTAGGATATCTTTTCCTTTCTGATCCTGAGCAAAAAATAAAGTTTAGCATTTCTGATCCCCCCTTTAGAGCACAGAAAATACGGCAGCAAAAGAACATGCAGAACTATTTCATTTATGGTGTTTCTGGTGAACAGGGATCACATATGCAAAGACTTCAGGAACGAAGCAGTAGACTGCTAGGAGAGTTGTGTGTTGGTCTCCTTTCCCAGAGACTGTTGCCCTTTAAAAACTCATTGCTGAGTGTTGGGATTAAAATACATGGATAAATCAGCTGTAGTTCCCTCCTGGTTTTCCCTTGAGAATGCAGTACTGCCTCATATGTCATACACAGGGGAAGAAGAGCAAAGATACTAAACTCGTAATCCCTGTCATATAATCAGACAGTTATTTTCCTCGTGATGAGTAAATGTTCTAAAATTTTGCATTTAAATGCAAATTTACTGTTCCTCTTTGTGGGTGGAGGAAAAGCTTTTGGCCTTGGCCTTTGTGTTAGAGAGACATCAGAACTCCTGTGAGTGGGTAGGACAAACCAGAGCTTCATGATCTCATTCCTTCGTAATTCCCAGAGAAATGATACATGCTCTTTCATTGTCTGTTTTCAGTAACAAATGACAGTCCCAAAAGTTGAGTTCAGCCCAGATATGATATGCTATATGTACAAGAAAAGTTCAGAGTGGATCTTCAGTGGCTGTTCTGCATACTCCAAGATTTTACTTATAGCCTGTGACTTGTCCTCTATGAAGTCAGCTGTTCTATCCATGGCTGCTCGCTGCACCCACGTAGTCACTACTTTACTGTCCACAGCCCATTTAACTCTAGGAAAAAGGATTATGGGCATCATACTCTTCTTTTGCCATAATTGAAGAAAGTCATGGCAGACAGCAATGTGGCTCGCTCTTTCAAGCCCCAAATGCTCACCCCATGTTACCCTACTATAATTCTGCAAATGTAGAAGAAAGCAATCTGCAAGAAAGCAGATTGTTGTTGAAGGATGTGGTTTCTCAACTCAGGTAATGAGTATTCTGGCCATCTTGAATGATTAAGAACTCTGCTAACATCTATCAAGAGTAACAAGTCTCGATTAATACCTCACTCCCAACCCATCCTTCTCTCCAGGAGAAAAAGAAAATGTATGTATTTTCTTAGTGTCTGTATGGATGACCATGTATGCTGGTAGTTAAATACCATGGTTATGAAAGAGGTTGTGTGGCAGGCATGTCACATAGATCAAATGTTCTTCTGAGTTTTGTGATCCAAATTCGTCCTACCTGAGATGGGAGTGGAAGCTACCTTCACTCCTGCTAGAGTCCAGCTGCTGCTGCTGCTGATGATGATTCAGTTCTTGAATGCACAGCCTGATGTCTAATGAAATGCGCCTTGGTTAGGTAATTTCTAGTTGTTGGTATGATTTGAAGCCATAGTTGTGCATCAGGACATAAAATCTTAGACATTCTGCCCTGTCGAGTCAGTGTCAAACACTCAATGCTGGTAATAACTGAGGGAAAGGGTGAAAAGTTGACGGTCTGTAGATGACAGCGTATCAATGCAGCAATTCAGGTAAGGCAAATACTATACAGCTGTATTTATGTCTCAGCTAGTACAAGAAAGGCATCCTCGAGAGCTGAGCCTTTTGGAGGGTTCAGCTGCTGGCTGCTAGAAGCAAGTGACCTAAGGGTTTCACAGAATCCCACAGGTGGCCTCTGAAAAAAATCACCTGCAGAAAGTGATAAGCAGCAGTTTGTTATTATCATGCTCCTTGGACAACTCTGAATTATTCATTCGGATTGCCGTTCTTTAACGTGTCTACAGTTTCAGAGCCCTGCAAAAAAATGGAGTTCCAAACAAGTAGTGGCCCACTTGGTAAAGCACTGGATCCGTTGTGAAAGGCTGTGTGATATCACTATGTGCGTGGATTTTCATTATGTCTGCAACAATTCATTTAGGTGAAGATTTAGGGTCTTTTTTCACATTTTCTTCTCATTTATATCTGTAGGACATAGGCTTCTGGGTGACTTTGAGAACCTAGGTATCAGTCTCTGTGCCTTGATTTTGTGATGAATAAAACGGGGGTGGGTGCAATGCCCTATTTCAGAGACATCACATAGATATGGAAAGAGCAGAGCATAAATGTGGAAAAAGCAGTTGTGAGGTCCTCAGAGACTGAGCTGCCATCATAACATCCCATCTTCTTGTCCTGGCTCCCAAAGTCTTTTTTACACTGACAAGTATCAGGAAGCAATATCTTCTGTACTAAACCTTGTCACTACATTTCAGCTACAGCCAAATAAAAATCCCTGAGCCACACACGTAAGCAGAAACAGAAACTGCTGTTTTCTTCAGTTTATACCACTCCGGTACAGAGT